AAATCTACCTTCCTGAAATATAGGACTTCTGCTCTGCTGATTTGATTTCCCAGTCTTACGGTGGATGGTGAACCTTATCAGGTTGTGATCCCTGTTGCCCAGAGTACCACCAATTCTCAAGCTCTTCCCCTTGGTCAGCACCAAATCTAGGGTGGCCTTACCCCTAGTAGGCCCTTCCACAACCTGCGTTTGAAACAGAAAAAGTTGGCTGACCTGCTGGAGGTGGCTGAGTGCTCCTCCCAACAGATGTCAGGGTAGTTGAAGTCCCCCATGACAGTCGTGTCTCTGATTCAAGCTGCCTCAGTCAGCTTTCCAGAGAATGCCTGATCACACTTCTCCTCTTGGGAGGGAGGCCTGTAGTAGACTCTCACCGTTAGGTCTCCCTCTCCTGGTTCCCCTTGTATCCTGACCCAGAGGGACTCAAGGGACCCTTCCCTGTTGTCAAACATGACCTGCAGGGAGGAGTACTGTTCTTTCACATAGAGGGGCACACCTTTTCCCTTCTTTCTGACCCGATCCTTCCTGTAAAGCCTATAGTCCTCATTGTTCACTGCCCAATTGTGTGCATCATCCCACCAGGTCTCCATCAACCCAATTAGATCAAATTCCTCATCAACCAGAAGGAAGACCAGTTCCTCCTGTTCATTTCCCATAGTTCTGGCATTCCCATAAAGGGACCTGAGTTCCCCGCTGGTTGCCTCAGGTTTTCTGTCATGCCACCTGTTAGTACTTATCTGGACGTCCATTGCTTGAATGCCCTCCCGTGTGTCATTGTGGCTAGAGGATTTGTGCACAGCAGTGGAACCTTCTCCCCAGCCCCTGTATGTGCCTAGTTTAAAGCCTTCCTCAAGAAGTTGGTGACTTTCATAGTGAAGAGCTTCTTCCCTCTGCTTATGAGATGAATACTATCCCTTGCATGTCGACCGCTGTAGTAAACTGCGCATCAAAGTTGAGGTATCCAAAACCCACACAGTGACACCATCTCCAAAGCCTTTGGTTGACCTCCTTCATGCACTCTTCCCTCCAATGGCCACGGCCCTTGACTGGGAGGATTGAGGAGAAGGCCACCTCTGCTCCTAAGGTCCTTCACTTCCATGGTTTTGTAATCTCTCATGATCCTCCCAGGGCTACTTCATGCCATATTGTTGGTGCCCACGTGAACAAGTAGCATGGGGTAGTGGTCAGTAGGGCAGACCAGTTTAGGGATCCTTGCTATAACATCTCTGATCCTGGCTCCTACAAGGCAGCAGACCTCTTGAGCAAATGGGTCTGGATGACAAATGACTCCTTCTGTGTCTTTCAGCTGGGAGTCTCCTATAACTATCATCCTATGTTGTTTCCTTGCTTGGATTGGTTTATCCCTTCTGTATGCATCGACTGCCGATGGTGTGAGGGCTTCGTAGCTGTTGTGTAGGGTTATTGGTGGGACAACTGATGCACATCATGGCTTCGGTCCTGATGTCACCAATGTCCATCTGCTATTGGTTGGGGCATCTTGTTCAGGCCTGCGCTCCTGCCTGGTCTCTGTGGCCTCCTTCTCCAGGTGCAGGGCCTCACAGTAGGCATCAATCTCTGCCTTGTGTTCCCTGATGGTCCGTAACCTGTCCATGTCCTCCTGTAGCTCCCTCACCTGGCCCTTCAGAGTCTCCAGCAGTGGGAGTGCTCATACCCCTGATCCCAGCATCCAGCAGACACGCCAGGCAGCCATCACTGTCTGCTGTCCAGGGCTCTGTCTGGGTGGAGGCCTCCAAGGTACTGGGGGGTGGAGGGTAGTCCATCCAGATCACGAAGCCTGGCAGTGCAGTGTGTACCCACTATTTTGCAGGGCAAGCTCTGGTCATGTGCCCCCCCCAGGTGTTTGTATAAATGGGAGACCAGGTGGGTGTTATTGCCTCCACATGGTCCTCAACAGCTGCTACTGCTGCTGCTGTAGCTTGGCAAGCAGGTTTGAATAGCTGCCTGTAGGGGGATCTCCTAGCTACCTGACTTTCTGCACAGCCAGGGGGATTTCCCTGCGTCCCTGAGTCCCTAACTGGTGGTGGGAGGGTGGAGAGGGTTGGTCCCTCATCCCCTTTACTTGATGTCCAGTGCCAAAGGACTATCCTTGGCATGGGGGGCTTTGGCTGCCTGGAGGTACAGCAGGCACAGGGTGAGCCATGCTGTGCGTGGGGCAACTGGGGGGCAACTCAGGAGCAAGAGTGCCTGCTGATGGCCCTTTTGCACTCCCTTCCATGCAAACTCCCACACTAATTCACACGCTGGGCTGAGAGCATGCCTGTTTGCGCAGCTCTGGTTGCACGGGTCCCTGGGAGGGGGGATGTGACCATCCTTGGCTCCACTCAGCTGCCTCCTCTAGCTAGTGCCCACCCACTGCAGGCCTCAGTTACCTCCTGGCTCCACACTGGGGGTCAGGATGCTAGTCTGCCGGGGTCTTCGCTCTTAAGGGGTGTGATGGGCTTGTACTCATGCGCCTCCCATGAAGAGCTGGTTGTAAAGTGCATTAAATTTAGGAGCGTATAGCAAAGTCGCATTAGTGCACATGCAGGTGCGCTAATGTGCATTAACGTCATTTGTGTTCATTGACACACACCACGTTAATGCACTTTAGTGCATCTACACATGCACTAATGTGACTTTGCTATTCATACCTAAATTTGATACCTACTTTATGCAAGTATCAAATTTAGGCTTATATAGCTTTAAATTGCCATGTTTAAGGTGTATTAAAGGGCACACGTGTAGACACCCCCCACCCAATGTGCCTTAAAAATGGCAATTTTTAGGCTAAGTTTGCTTAAAAGAGGAGCATGTAGATGGGCCCAGTAAAGCGCAGGCTTTTGCTTTTCTAGACAAACGTAGCTATAGTCCATGTCCCAAAAAGTTTAGATTGCATTGCATCTAATTCAGTATAGTGTTTCTGTAATCAAAACTACTTTACCCGGTCTCGCTCACTTCAGTGATGGCACACAAGAGCCTGTCTCAGTGCAGTGCTGGGACCAACAAAATAAGTCTATAAACAAATGAAATGTTTGAAGTGTTGTTGAATTCTGTCCTGGCCATTACATGATTTATTGTGATTTAGTCTGATTAAAAAAATATATAAATTTCTTCAAATGTGCTTTATCTCCGACTTAATATTATCTATTATAAGTAGAGAATGGAATATTTTTGACTTCATGTAAAGTAATTCAGAAGTGAATAGTTAATACGGAATTGTATAGAGAAAAGGACTACTCAGTTCTTATATCTCTGTGTATACACTTTTTTAATGTGTAAAGAAAGAAATCTGAATAGATCTGATGTCCAGTCAGCCTTATGGACTAATTCTGAATGCTTTACCAGAAAATGAAGGTGATGGGAGGTCTATTTCAGACCCTCTCAAATCTCTTGGTTCTGTCGGTTGTGGCAGTTGGAAAATGGGTCAGAAGGGTTGCAGAGCTTCTCATCTTAAAATGATGCCAGGATCTTTTTTTTTTAATTATTTGCCTATGGTCTCCAGCATTGGACAGAATAGCAGGCCTTTATTTCTTTATCTTCTTATATCTGTGTAGTGTCTTTCCGCTTCTAATTAAAGGAAAAGAATAAATTGCTAGTAGAGGTTTTTGTAAATCTCATGACCCATAAATCCTTGGCTCAGTGCCTCCTACATAATGTCATCTTTAACCAATCAGAATGCAGCTGCATTTGATTACTTATAAAACGTTAGTTGATTAGATAAGAGAATATTATTTAGACAGACAATGCCTTGTGCTTGGCATTTTCAGTTACTTCTTCCACCCCACCCCACCCCCTTTTATCCTCTCCATTATACTGTCTGCCTCTAGAAACTCAAATACAGCTACTTTAACTTCTTTATTGGGGTACCTGACTGGACTACTTTATGTAAAAACAATGAGAAATGTTCCAGACAGCAAATTTCTATTTATGACCGTCTGAAATATCGAGCAGTGCTGCATCTTAAAATAGTGCTGAGCAAGAAACTGCAAGTTTTTCTTCATGGTCAAATAAAAAAAATTTTTTTTTTCTGCTTGTCAAATGGCATCATAATATTGAGTGTACCTCTGGAGACAGAAGCTGGTTCTGTCATACTTTGTTTGCTGAGTTTTTTTTACCCTTGTTATGGTAGGGTGTGGTTTTTATCCAGTTGATTTTCTTGCAGCCCAGATATTTTCCTTTGGAATTTTTGGTTTACACTGTGGTATAGATGAGCCATCATTTCCCACATGCTCTGGTTGCCAAACTTTGTTTGTACTACTCCATCAGAAATACTGTCTGAGAATCTCTTTTGACAACTGAATGTTAATTTTAATCCATCTTCATAGTGAAACAGACCAGTCTCTATTGTGCAGTAAGTAATGATTAGAAATTACATAGTTGACATTTAAACACTACGCTTTGAAATTACTGATTTTTTTTTTTTATGCTAGATTTTTTTCTATTTGAAGAAATGGATTGCAGGCTTGTAAATGAATTGGAATATTATGTAGCTTTTATTATACATAGATACTTTGAACAAAGAGATCCTTATTTGCAGAATTTCTCAAGACAAAGTCTGCATATGAGACGTGTTTCATTTCCCCTTTTGCTTGCAGATGTGACATTTAAAATCTTGAGTATGCACAAGACCCCTCTTTTTAAACACCTTTGATTTAAAAGAAAGCTAGAATGTTAGTACAAGTGTTATATTCTAAGTCTACTTTTATGCAAGTATAAAATCCTCTTTAGAAAGCTTTTTTAGGAAATTATAAATCTCTGATTAAAACTCCATTTTAAAACAAATTGCAGTTATGTTCAAATCCAGATAGTAGAGAAGAGCTCGTTACTGGAGGCACTGTGTTCTTGTTCTTAGGAAAAATGCCTTTCCATTGGCTGGAGACTCAAAGATTTAGCTCTAAATCTTTCTGAAACTTTCATCACAAGGTATTTAAATTTTAATTCACCAATGCTTTCACTGAAATGGCAGTAGTTAAATATCCTCTGTTTATTTATTGCTCTTTCAGGTGCAGTGGCAAGCACAGAAGTAAAAATGAAATTACAAGAGTTTGTCTTAAATAAAAAGAAGGCTTTGGCACACCGGAATCTCAACCATTGCATTTCCAGTGATCCCCGCTTCTGGTATGGGTAAGTGGTACTGGGCTTATCTTGATTCAGCCAGTGCCATCTTTGTTTACAGTTACTAGAGAGGTAGGGAAAGGGGCTGATGCATTTTTAATAAAAGAGCTATATGTTACTGATAGGTGTTAGTTTGGCTTAATTTTTTCTAGGTATATGCATTGCAAATTGTAGTGGTTGTGAAAGGAATTATCTGACATTTCATGGAAGGTATTCTTCTCAAATACTGTTACGTTACACTAAATCATACACATATGCCTTCTCTAATTCAGGAACGTCAAACTCATTTGGTCTCTGGGCTAGAACTGGATTGTAGAGCTCATTGTAGGCCAGATCTGGACCTGCCTCTAGCAGTCTGATGAGCAGCATTGGCATTAACCACCATGAGTGCCTGAGCCAAAGTGTCAGTTCACGGATCCACAGGAGTTAATAAAGCCATTGCTTGCTGTGCTGTGGCTGAAATGAGCCCTGGTCAGACTCTGCCCCAGAAATTGGTGGCAGGGTGTGTGATGGTGACATTATATCCACTGTGGCTCTCTGAGCTGCTGTGTTAGGGATTAACACTATCACCGCACACCCCATCCCTGAATTCCCAGCCCCTCCAGGGTCTAGACTGTCACCCCACTCAAGTGTAACTGTCCACAACATAGTTTCTCCTAAGAGCACTTTGATGGATATTTTTTCTGTGACTACTCAAAGTTGATTATTCTGTGTAATCATACCTACAGATCAGTCTCTACCAGACATCTAAAATTCTTTAACTCATCACATGGTCTTCAGTATGAGAAATTTGTCTCTCTGGGGTAATGGAAAAATTACCCTTACAATTCACGTAATTGGCATTCAGGTTATTTAAAATATTCCATTTTTTTAAATATTCAAATCGTACCCCTCAAATTAATCTCTGTGGCCATGTAGTGTTAATAAAAAAAAAAATTAAGGATTTGCTACATCAGTCATATACATACTTGAAAATACTGTGCCTTGAAAGTGTCAGACCAGATAGTAGAAACAATTTTTAGTGCTGAAAATGCTTTACTGAAGACACTAACTATTGACCACCACCCATTCCAAACCAGGCATTTTGAGCAGGATAGTATCAGCTGATGTTAATTGGCACAATTGGCATTCTTGTGCTGAACCCCGGATAATGCTAAATAGTCTACAGCTTGATGACACCAAACTGTCCTTTAGACATCACAGCCAATGATCATGAAGAGAAATGAATATCAACAGAGCTTTACAGATCTTTCAGACCTAACAGTGGAACCTCACTGTGCATCCCTCAACTCAATTGAGGGGATAAGCAGAGCTAAAAGTGAATATTTGTTTACAATTTTGGTAGAAAATTGCATTGGTGAACCAGATCACCTCTGAATACTCTCTCTGTGTATTTAATGAAATTCTATTGGATTTGCACAATACTACACCAGAGGCAATCAGCTGCTGCAAAATTTGGACATAAAATTGTGAATATGGTTTTCCTTGCTTTGTGATCATTGTATCATCATATGTTAAAAAAATTGGCACAATGTCACATGAAAGAAAAGTGATTTCTTTAAGCCAAGTTATAGACAGACATCAGTGTTTCTCAATTATTTTAATACTCAAGACTAATTTTATGTTTGAGATTTACTCTCAAATAAGGACCACAACCCCCCCTCTCTTTACACATATTTCTCAGAGAAAGTTCAGTGGTTGGTTTCATATGAAAGTGATATTGGCATAGTATTATGAAGAGAAAAATAGAATACACTCATTTGTTGGCTGTAGGCTGCTGTGCTACATTCCTAAATAATATCTCCTATTTGCTAATGATTTGCATTTACATCTGAATGGGTTGATCCCAGCAGTGATTTAGCATGGTCTTTCTTGAAGGTTAAAGCACAGTCCATCCTTTTCTAGCTTACTTGTGTCCACAGAAGGGTATAAATATATAAATAAACCCGAAATGTATCTTTCACTCAGCAGAGCTGAAGGCTTCTGATGTAGCTGAAAATAATTGACCTCTACTCTTGAACGTTAGTCATTGTTGGAAGAAAAACCATGACAAGTAGAACTGAAAGGGGAATAAAGAAAAATCAAGAAACCATCTCCTGATGCTTGTGGTTTGAGTGGAGGCCTACTAGCCTGTTTTTGAAAAGAAGTTGTCATTGTCCTGGTTTGTCTGGGCCTCAGTGAGTAAAACTAATTAAATGTCTGAGGGCTTTGGTCTTCTGTTTCTCCAGAGAGAGATACTTCCATGTAGATTAGGCTATCGCGGATGAGGATCATAGTTCTTTCTTAAAAAGATAAAGAAACTCATTGCAGTGAGAAATATTAGAGGCAGCTTCCTGGCCATAACCTAGCTTTCCCATGTTTCACTACCTGAACCATTTCTACTGAACAAGATCTGAATGAGGGGAAATATTTTATACCATCCTCTCACGGTAGTTTTTACCCATGCTGTTTGGTTGTGATAGTGAACTCCATCCACACTGAAACTTTCAGATCCCAAAGAAAAAGTTACTCCTACCCCTTCCTTGTGGTTGAACAGTTACACAACAGACTCTTGTGTGCATTCAGAATGGAAGGAAGAAATTAGTGTCCATGTGTAGAAGGGTATGTGTAAAAGAGAGGAGGGAATTGGGATGTGCATGTAGGAGAATGCAGGGATCAGAAGCAAAGAGAAAACTGACTAAAATGCTCTGGCTATTTTTGCTGCTCTAGAAATGGACTAGAACATCTAGAATCCACGGATAAACATGGTCCTAAGTTGGTCTTAAAGGTTGATATGGAACATGATCAGAATATTAGAAATATCGCATGGTAGCATTTTGGCTGACTTGTTCAGTGATCCCATAGAAATTTCTTAATAAAGACTATTTAATTTGGATTAACCTTACAAATGTGTAAGGAATTTAAGGGGAAAAAGTTATGGAGCTGATGTAATTTATATCAGAAGCAAGAGTTCCAAACTCAGGAAATTCAGAGTTAAATCTTAATCTTAAATGAACTTCCAGTGTTTGGAAATACAGAAATGTATACAGAAATATGGAAAGCACTCAAAAATTATAGCCCAATCCCTAAGGATATGTTGAGATGGTAAGAGAAAAATCTGATGTGCCTTTTAAACTTAGTTTTAATCTAACCTGAGATGTCAAAAGCTATTTTGCATTAAGTATAATAGTATAGTTGTGTAGTGTCATCACGCAGGCTCATATAGTAACACATGGATGATTTATGTAGTGGCAGTATTTAAGATCCACTGCTAAATCAACAGTTGGTGATAATATGAAAGAGGTGAACTCTGTTTGAAACTGGAAGCTGGCATTATTTTTCTGACAGAGTTGATTTTCCAGTATTCTGCTCAGTTGCATGAGTGACCAAGAAATTTTGGAATGACACTAAGAATACGTGACTGTGAACAGCTACATTCTCACTTTCCCATTAGGTTAAAATGCCTAGATTTTATTATGCAAAAATAGCATTAAGTCAATAGTGGAATGAAGGCTAATGAGTGAACATTTTAATTCCAGAACTTTGATCACTTTGATCCTGTGGCCTCAGGAAAATCTGATGTGTAGTTGTGATTGTACGTGAATTCTCTGTGTTGAAAAAAAGTAAACTGTTATGGTCTGAAAGGGGCGTCTTCACCTTTCAATTAACTATGCTATTGGCATATTTCTCTTAGACCTTGGTGCCCTTAATTTTGTAGCCTACACTCATTTATGACAGGTTTTAGGCTCACAGTAAGTCCATTCAGTGGGCTGCTTGGAAATGCCTCCATCCCCAGGGTAGAACCAGAGGGGAGCAGCCAGGCAAGCTGCCACATATATCCTTATAATGGGATCATAGCAAGGAAATAGAGGGTAATGTGAGATTTGCCTAAAATAGAGGTCAGCAGCCTTTTGCCTGCACCGGCTAGAGCTTATGACCTGACAGTGGCTACGGGCTGAAAGTCTTCATCCTCCCCGAGAGCAGCCAGTAGCTGGCACTCTCTCTTGCTGCAGATTCCTGACCCCTCTAAGCTAGGGAAGCACAAATGCAAAGCAGCAGAAGGCTCCTTAGTAGAGAGCAAAGCAGCAGAAGGCTCCTTAGTAGAGGGAAGTGCTGTCAAGGGGGGTGGTTGGTACAGCGCAGTTCTGTATGGCCTATCTTCTATGCTGTCTTGGACCTGTTTGAAAGCCAAATCCAGCCTGCAGGCTGTATGTTACCAACCCCTTAATGAATAAGATGTGTGGACTAGGTGGGCTGGAAGCTCCTCCCACTAGGAGGCAGAGGCAATATCATTTGGCAGAGATATGTCAAAGATATAGCCTGCAGTACTGCCTGTGTGTATTGGACAGGCTCCATGTGACACATACAGCATAATAACCTCCTGACCAAGGGCCAGATAAAGAAAAGACTAGAATCTTTGGAGTACCCAGGTCCAAAATAATGATAGAAAATAATCAACAGGCAACTAAACCTGGAATGTCCAAGGAGGTTAAAGTGTTCTGCCATGGGCATACATGACTTTCTGGAGCTGATGTTAGATTGGCATTTATTCATTCTTTCACGTAGAGGGGCCCTTTAAGCAGCAGATGGTATATATAACATTGGTAGAGTTGAAGCGCCTTGGATGTTATAAGCAATGTTATTTGATCCAGTGATGTCTGTGCTTGCTGTTCCAGCACAACAGGCATCTGGGTCTGCTGCAAGTTCTGGTGCTTCAATGAGAATGGAAATTATGTAGTTTATTGCTTGAGAAATGCCATTTGAGGTTGGGGGGCTGCCTGTAAACCAGGATAGAATGGTCTCCCATGACTACCTTCAGATGGTTGCCTTTTTTCCAGGAGGGGTTGGAGGTTATTAATGGTGTAAAGTGTTCAAGCTGGGAGGTGTAGGTAGCGACCAGAATTGAACACTGATCTGACATCAGCTCTAGAAAGACACAAAGGCCAGTGGCAGAACACTTTGACCTCCCTGGACCCTCCATCTCTGACCTCAGGGTCTCTGTTCTTAGGCAGCACACCTTTAGAAACAGATTTGTACAGAAATTTGCAGAGCAAGAAATCATCCACAGACTGGATTGTGTTATATATGGGTTAAACAAGGGACTGTGGATATTTATCACATTGCCTGGATTAGTTTTTCTGATCCCTTTGTTCCTATGTGTTCTTTGCTTGTATGCCTCTTTCAACATTGTCCTCTTTCCCTTCCCCTTCCCTTTATAACTTTAGTATTCAAATAACTCTCTCCATTATATACACTGCTCTGTGCATGTCTTTTCACAGCATCTGATGAAGTGAGCTCTAGCTCACGAAAGCTTATGCTATTTATCTCTCTAATGTAGTCTGTAAACTGCAAATCTACCCTGCCTTCTCCTTGATTTCAGATTAACACAGTGACTATTAGTACAGTTACTTTTAAAATGTGTTGCCAGTAATGTTGTTCAGCATTTTAAGACTAATTTGCCACACACAATCTTGTTGTCTGTTGTATCATCTTGAACACATCATAATATAGGTTATGATGGTTTAATTGTGATACGGACAGGGCATTACAGGGTCTGCTACAGAACTGTTACTTTTTCAGGGAGGTTCTGGTGTGTATCATGTTGCTGTTGTATTCTACGTGTCTGCGACTGAAAAAAGGAAGAAAAAAAGGAAGCTTGACTGTATTTTTGTTTGTTAGTAACTGACATTGATACACTTATGTGTTTGTATTGAGTGAGATTATCAAACTCAAAGGTGCCTGTATTCCCTGCATGTGCAACACTCCACCAGAGATGCATGCAGTTGAATGTTTATTCAAATCAAATGACCGCAGGTTTGAAGTAGCATATCACCTTACATGCACACCTGTTTGAAGGATCACACATTGCAAATAATAGGTATATTATGTATTTGGAGACTTGCATATTTGAATTTGAATGTGCAATTTTATATTTCAATGTGCAGTCAATTACCAGACTTGAAAATCTCTGAAGGGTATGCTGGCATATAGTCACAAGTGCCATGCAGTTTGTTGAAACCAGTGTAAGATGTTATGCTAGGAACAGCATTGCATTCGTTGTTGGACAAGTTGTGCCTGTGTGTGTCTTGGAGCAGAAATAGTCCAGGATTGACGTGTACACACAGTGCCCCATTAATCAGGGTGTACTGAGTGGCTGAATGTGCTGCTTTTCTGCCATGGATTCATTGATGCAATCTCAGGATGACCATTCAGATGCACTTTGCAATGTCCCGGGCTAAACTGTTAGTACTACTTATCCCATTAATCTTTTCAAGATTTATCCAAGGAGAACAGACATGAATGTCTGAACAGTTTTGCAGTTTGTCCCAGGATAAAATGGTTTATCCTGGGATAAATATGATGTCTGCTTATAGCCTTGTTGTTATATTTCCCAGTGCTGCAAACAATTATGAGTGGTGAAAGTTTGCAGTATTGAGTATCCAGGATTCAACAAATCCAGATGCATCAAACAAGGCTTTGTAGTTGAAGTGTGCCTATTCTTCATGATGGTGTAGTTTGTCATAATAAAATCAATTTTAGTACCTCTTGGTAGTAATCTGTGCTTCAGGCATTTGAACTTTGTTTATAAAATATCTTTTGGAGTTGACTTCAAATAAAATGGATGGAACTGGGGAAAGAAAACTAATTCTGCATTGTGGAGGATTTAGACATTTTGCAATCTGATTTCATTCAGATGGAGTGTACTAGTGAACTGTGTGTGCATGCATGTGGTTACAGAAATAGAAAATGTGCATGTATTAATATAATGTGAAAGTATTGCAGATCTGTTGAAGATTTTATGGAAAATTTACAAATGCAGGAACTAAAAATAAATATTACATTAAATTGTTTGGGAAGGATATTCATGTAGAACATTCTAACTTGCATATTTTGTAGCCTATTTAGTAAATAAATGCACTTTTAAAAAAAACTTGTAAAAATTACAAACGTTCATTTTGTTTTTTTGAAAGCTTTTGATAAGCAGTTCCTCACATTTCAATTGAAATCTATACATTTTAGTACATTGGTTACTATAAACCTGGTGAAACATGCTTCTTACTATTTTAACTTCCTAGATGTTCTGCTAAAGAAATTGGATCGTTTATTTAATGTTGAAGTTGAACTACAATAAATATCTTTCCCTAAGGATATTTTACTTGCAGAATATTTTAATCAAGTTCTTCTAGAATGCCTGATTAATGAATAAGAAAGAGTATAACTGGGAGGACTGAATGTTTCTATAGCCAGGTGCTTATTCTCATTAAATTATTTAATATTTTAAACAAAGAATACAGTGATTAAGTAATATTCTCTCTGTAAAATTGTTTGATAGCTGTGTGTCTATAATCTCTAGCTATTAACGGGATCATTTTGTTAAGTTGTCAAACTTTATTAATGTGGAAAGTCCAGAGATTTCCAAAATTCTGTACTGGTCGAGTTTCAGCAACAGCTCATACACTTCCCAGAAAATAAATTGGCAAACTTGGTAAAGGTCACTAAGTAGAAAAAATACAGCCACCGTAGTTGTGGAAGATTGTAAAATTCATTAATTATTTAATATCTTTAGCAAACAATAAATTACTTCCAACGGTCTTTTCAAACAAAGCTATAAACTGTCATCTTTAAAAAGATGATCCTGAACAGTTTTGAGTACTTCGATGCCAACCCTGCAAAGTACCCATACCTCGATTCAGCAGAGTAATATCCAGAAAGACCACCTATCCAGCATTGTTGCTGTTGTAGGTTTTACAGATGAACAGCTAATGTGTTTACAATAAACTTTTTTATGCCATTGTTTTGGGTTTCAGTTTAGCAATGGCCATTAGCAGGAAAAGTTTAGCAATGGCCATTAGCAGGAAAAGTACAAGAAAGCATGTAAATATGCTTAACTTCTGCAGTATGACTCCTCTTATTGAATAAGGTCCCAATTTAACACAGTTCTTAAATATACATCGTTGCCATACTTAGTTGAATTGGAGCCTTATGTTGTAGGTCTACTCCCATGCTTAAACTTAAGCATATGTGTAATTGTCTTGCCAAATCAAGGTCTCAGATTTTAAATCCTTTTTTGTTGTTGTTGTATTTGGATGTTTATGTAAAGAGGGAACTAGTACAAGGAAAACAACAGGAAACAAGTGAACAAAAGGTCTGGTTGCTTCTTTGGGTTGTTTTTTAAAGAGAGAGTGCCTTTGTTCAAGGTTAACTTTGAGTTACAAATGGATTGCCATGGTTTGAAAGTCAATAGAGGACTGTTTTACTATAACAGTGAGAAAATTATTCTATGCCAAATTTCTTTACAGTTTTATAATATTTTCTCCACTTCTTTCTACTTCCTATACAGGAAAACACAGCATAGTTCTCTTGACCAGAGTTCCCCTCCCCAAAGTGGAGTATCAGGCACCTATAACCACCCTGTACTGGGGATGTATGATTCCAAAGACGACTTTCCACTCAGAAAAACAGGTAAAACCTACAATAATAGTCTACTTTCCTTACTTAAATATGGTTTTCTTCATTGCAACACTCATTCCTTTTTCAAAATGAGTAAATAAATCTTAACCCAAAAATTAGTGTTACTTACTGAGATAATATTTTAAACAAGTAGTTTCTTTTTCTTGTGCACTCTCATCCTGTAGAAGGAATGAAGAATGCATGGCTCTACCTTCTGTTTGACTTCAGATAAACACAGCTAACTATCTCTTTCTACCGTAAAAACTATGGAAGGTAATTTATTTTACATCAAATCTGAGACTGTCATTTTCACAAGGAAAAAAATAATATCCTGATTTAACTGTCTAGAATCAATATGTTTCATTGAATAATTACATGTTTATTTCTTGGTGGTTTTCTTAAAAGGAGAGGAAGAGGGGGAGAGGTCAGAGATCATGGGGACTTTACTGTAACTAAACAGTAGGGCTGTGCGAAGCTTCAGTCCCCAATTCAATTTGGCAGAAAGTCAGCCCGATTCGGTGGCCAAATCTTTGAATCCAAATTGAATCAGAGGACCTTTTAATCTCACCGAATCGAATTGGAGCCTTCTGAATTGATTTGGAAAGATTTAGAGATTCGGACATAGACACAGCTTTAAATGTTTTTCTATATACCTCTAGGTAGCAGGCGGCTTGTGAAGGCTGCGATGCTGGGGCGCATGGCATGTCCCACAGGAGTGCGGGGGACTCCCCAGCATGCTTGGCAGCTGACTTGGAAGTGGATCGGAAACACTTCTGGTTCGCCGGGGAGCACTCCGGGGCCCCTGCCCCACACCCCTCCTACTCGGCACCTGGTGCCTCCTGGCTCTGGAGAGGCACCCAGGGTTCCCCCGCGGCTGATTGCCGAGCTAGGTAGGGTGCAAGGGGTCCCCCCCACGCGCTTGGCAGTGGACCTGAAAGTACTTTCTGGTCCACTTTCCTCCCGTGCTCCTGTGGGATGCTCCATCCGCCCTAGCATCGCAGTGTTCACAAGCCACACTGGTACCTTGAGGTATGTAGAACATTTTTTTTAAACTGTGTCTTTGTCCGAATCACTGATTCTCTGAATCAGCTTCGAATCTTCAGATTCTGATTCGGCCAAATCAAATCGGGGACAGTGATCTGAATCAACTAATCAAATCGCCCGCTTCACATACCCCTACTAAACAGTTACTTTTCAGTTATGTTGTTTCCTGCAATGTGGTTGAGGGGGTTTGTTATTTCTCCATGATGCATTATGTAAATTTCTGTATTTTGATTAGCCACTATCATTAACTCAACGTCATATCTGCCAAAAACCAAAATGCAACCTCGGGTTCTAATATCACCAGCCTGCAAGCTACTGCTATTTCCTTCAGGGAATACCTAAACTCTGATTGATTCCTCTTGATTTCAGAAATAATAGTGACTGAAAGGGCTGTATACATAGTATTGTATGTTTTTAAGTAACTTTTTAATAGCCAGGTTTAACTAGGAGAGCTGCTCTTTTTGAGAAGTCAAAATAGAAGTAAAAGGAAAAACCAGGGATGCATTTGAAAAAAAGAATTTGAGACCTGCTGTAGGTTTCTTTTGAAAACCACTGTTTACATGGGAAGTCCTATAACTGTAGATTGGATGAATCCTTGCATTCTGTTTAACTGACAGCCACTAGCCAAAATAACACTTAAAGATTTGCATGGTCATGTTTTGAATATGTAAATGTGTCTAGTGCGATTACTGTAATCTCTGCTCTGATTGGTTGCCAAGCTGTTGGCAAAGTCTGGTTGGTTGCAAAGTCTGTTTATTTGCAACTGACAGCCACTCTACTTTCACTCTTTTGAAACCTCAAACTTGTCGAATAATTAAAGGGAAAAGAAAAAGCACAACTGAAAAATAATAAACTGCTGTTGTATTTATATTCCTTTATATACATTCAGATTAAGGCAAGTGAAATATTTTTACTATTTTAAGTAAAATATTTTGTGAAAACTTAACAGGCATATACAAAATTTTTAACTTCAGTTACAAGAAATTTGTATGTATGTTAGCTGTGTTTCAGCCAGCTTCCCTGTGTGAAGAGTGTGGCCCAATCTAGTTGTGCAATATTGTCTTAATGCTTCTGAACTGTGGTTCTCCAGGGATAATGTTGTTCTAAAGTCACACCCATGGTTCACATTTAGTTAGCATGAGTACAGTAAGTCTATCTGGAACTCTGGGCCATCCCTATAATTCATATATTTTATTGAAAAAGTTGAGGATTATCCTTCAAATTTATTATATAGTCCCAGATTCATTTTTCTTGTACAACTAAGGTAAGAGCCATCAGAAAAGAAAGTGGAGTGTTATTACATTCATTTTACATCAGCTCCTGAGAATTGCATTTGTCAAATATAGATATATTACATAGCATTTCAAATATATATATAATTGGACTGAAATGCTATGTATACTTACCAATTGTCTTCTGTTCTTCATACCTTTATAGTGACTTTTGGGAGTCTCCTGTAGTTGCCTTGTTTTTTAGTTAGTTTTTAAAGATTTATCTGTAAATATGGGTATCAGTCTCTCATAGTTTTAATGCAACAGTTTAGCCACTTACAGAAGGCTACGATAAGTTTAAGATGAACATTTTTTGCAAATGTATTCCGTAAATTGTTTGATCAAGTGTTTGATTGTATTCTGTCACTTACTGCATCTAACATAGTCTTTGCCTAGTAGTCTGTCACTTTGTAAATAACAAATTGTTGTTTCTATTAAAGCCCTCCAACAGCAGAATTTTAATGGAACATGTGTAATAAATTACTTTTAAAGTTGTCACGTATTGTTCTATACATTGTAGAACTGTGTCATTGTATTTTTCTCAGCTAGTTGCATTATATTTTTTCACATTACTCTGCCATAGGTAAACTGTTGTCATTTTGTATAAATTGAAAGAGGTTTCTCAGTTAAGAATATTTATAAGGAAAAGGTAAGGGAGGTATTCTGTACCATTTGTAACAACTTGTAGCATTACTCGGTGGATAAAAGAACAATGCAATATTTATAAAGCTTTGACTTCAATGTAGTGTGGATGTATCTGAGCTAGCTTTACACAAGCTGGGTTGGGTAGCAGTAGCAGTTGAGTTGCATTGGCACAGGGCTTCTGTTGGGCTACCTCCCCAGTTATTTAACTTGGTTTTCAGGCCAGTTTTTGCAACCCTTGCTTTAGCTTTGTACTGCAATAGCTGCTAGTATCCAAGCTAGCTAATTTATCTACACCAAACTGCAGTTACATCATTGACTGCTGTGTAAATATACCCTAAAACCTGTCTGCACCTGAAATAATCAGACTTCAAATGAAAAGAGAGACGTCTATGTACTTTCATTGATGGAAATAGGAGGGAGAAATTGGACTGTTGAAGCTTTCACTTAAATGTAGAAAAACGTTGGCTATCCTGCATCTTGGGAACAGCTGTTAGTCAGAGTAGAAGCAGCATTGTGACATTTTTGTCCATGCTTGTGCTTAGCTGTATCTCTACTGCCCCTTGTACCCTAAAATACATCGGATATGAAGCTGTAAGTTTACATTTAGTTCCAGCAACAATGACCCAGTGCCCCCAGAGAAGAAACTGAGTGATCAAGAAGTCAGGTCAGTATTCCAAACCAAATCGGGGGATGTATGTTGGAGATGGACATCTGACAAATATATGAACAACAGATTAAACTAAATCTTTGGCCATGGCCTCTGCCAAAAAGTCAGCTGCCTGAACTGACTTCCACCAAAGATGAGACCAGGCTGGGTTAATTTCTTGGGGGGTGGGGATCATATGTATGCCTTTATTCTTGCTTTTCTAGAGCATATCTTAAGGGTAGTAAACGTTTTAATAGCAATTTCATATCTTTAATTTTAATCAAGCAGTCTTTTTTTCCCATATAGTCAAATACTTAAATACTGTTCTGTCCTATGTGTAAAGTGAGCAGATGTTGCTGTTCGTTAGGGAAGGCTTACCAGCGGTAAGCATAATGGCATATGCGAGTAAGATTTTAGTGTATGTACTAAAACAGAGGAAAAGTTTCTGTGTGAAGGTCACTTTATAGTTTCTTGTTATTAAAGGGGATACTTTGATAACTGTGGGTATGACCCACTATGGGCTTTTTTGAAAAACTGGATCTTCTAGGGACAGGACAGGCAAGTTATCAAACTGGAGAGAAACACTGGGGAATACCTATGGCAGGTGCCTTGCCTCATTTTACACTGGAATTGCTTATTATCTTATCTCAAGTAATATTTTATAGGTAGTAAAGCAATGTGATTGAACTAGGAGTTCGCCAGTGTATTCAAACAATATGACTCACCCAGCTGCTAGAAATGTCTTTCCATTTGGTGAGGCCTCATGAAACCAGAACTAGATATGCACAATGTTATATATGTTTGGAAAAGATCAGTGCTGTAGAAAGGGGGTGGGGGGGTGAGGCGAGCAGGGCAACCGCCCTGGGCGCCACAGCAAAGGGGTGCCAACAGGCACTGCCCAGCCGGGGCAGGGTGCAGGACAGAGCTATAAGTGGCTCATTTGGGGGTGCACAGAGATGGGGGAGGGTGGCTTCCACCACTTCAGGCAGTCCCAGGCAAGCTTGGGGGGGCCATGTGCCCCCTGGATCCATGTGCGGGCCGAGGGTAGGCTGCCTCTGTGTGTTTTACCCCAGGTGCCAAACTTCCTTGTCACAGTACTGGGAAGGGCCAAGATGTATCTATCTATCGTATGTAGGGTATTCTAAAGCACTTCAGGGTACTAGAAAATGTTTGGTTTTCAATTTCTGGATAACTGGACAATTCTAAGTGTTTTCATTATTATTGCCAGGCCTGAAAAAAAACTTGCAGTGTCATCCTTTTTGTTCCACTCAAAAGAGGATTAAGAATCTGGATACAGCTTTCTTGGCCATAGAACTCCCTTCTACAAGAATCAGTAGATCTCCAAGTTTCCAACAATTGGTTCAAGGGCCATTTTTAAATATTCCAGTGTGGACTTGAATTTTCAT